AATGTAGTAATATTATAATACATATAATCATATAGCAGAGTAAACAGAGTTATAAAAATAACTATATATCTATATATGAGAAATTTTATGGAAGAGTATTAAGAGGACTAAATTCATTTTGGCTTTCTACTAGCTACGAATGTATAAGTACTATGCTAGAAACAGTTTTTTCACTAATATTTGCTCTATCATTAGTAATTATAAAACTACCTTTTGAAAATACCCTCTTACTAGAAATACTTGATAGCTTGATACTTAAATAATCCTGTGCTATTCTACTAAGTATTAGGAATCTATATGATAATGATTCCCAAATCAATATTCCTTTATTTTCTTCTTTTTTATTATTATTTGAAAAATTTTTAAGAGGCTTTCTTTCGTATAATTCTAACTCATATTCTATTGTACCTATGCGTCTTTATTTGTTTGAAATTTTTCTAGAAAATAAGAAACCAGAATAGTTATTCTCAACAGTTTCAACATTTAAAGATTCTGCGATACTATATTTAATTCTATTAGAAATAATTTTTTGCTGAATATTATCAACAAATAGTTCTGCATCACTTTCACTATATTTACTAACTTGAATTAAAATTGCTTTTAAGTGATCCAGCTTATACCTTGGATTAAGAACATGAGCAATTATTATATAGTCAATTATTATATCCCAATATTTTTTAAATTTTTTTTTTATTTTGTAGGTCATGTCATTATTTCTAGTTTGATTAATATGTTGACAAATTTCTAATATAATTATTATTACATTAGAGATTAAATTAGATTGTTCTTTAGAGAGAATTAAAGTAGCCTTTTCAAATGGTTTAAGAAATGGTAGAAGGATTCAAGAATTAAGAAGCTTTCATGATCTAAACAGGAAGGCATAGATGGGTCTTTCAAGCACATCTCAGAAATTGCTGAATGTAAATACAGATATCTTTCAAATATAGCTAATGTAAAATTCTAATATATATTTATTTCAAGAACAGGTCACAAAAACTTTATTCCCAAAATTATACAATATAATTCTAATATCTCTAATCTACCACTACTCAAAGGATTAGCTAAATATTTCATAATATTGTGAACTTGTTTTTGTAGTAGATAGATTTCTTTTAGGTTTTCTTTAACAATAAGGTTGAGAATATGACACATACATCCTTGAATAAAAAAAAATTTAAAATTTAAAATTTAAAATTTAAAATTTAAAATTAATGAAAAATTTTAAAATAATAATTAAACCTATTGATATTATATTTGGCAATTTATTTTGAAGCAACCAACTTACAGCTTTATTTGTAGTAGTATTATCTATAGTGAGTGCAAATATTTTTTCTTTAATAGAATACTCATCTAAGGTGTTTTTAATTACTGATAATATTTCTTTTGCTGTTTGGTCTGATTGTTGAAAACTTAAAATTATATTGACTATTTTCTAATTGTCACTAATCTATAATCCTGTAATGACAATATAATGATATTTATGAATAGTCAAATACTATCTATTATATGTTAGTGATATTTGTCTAGAGGATTTGGCTAGAATATTTTTAATGAAATTGAATCTTAAATTAAATATATTTCTACTAATATAGTATGATATTGTAGTTGGATATAGGACTTTGTATGACTTTGTAACATAATGAAAATTTCTAGCTATTTTATGGAATAATAGATTTTCAAGAACATTGAAGGACATTCCTATTCTAATAATCAAATCAACTATTAACTAATTCATCTCTTCTTTTGTAATCTGCTAGAATGCATCATTTTGGATATCTATTAGTAGGAAATTAGGACACTTTATAGTATGTTCTTTTAAATGTGTTCTACTAGTATTTATTAAATATTTTTTTGTTTGACAATGCAAGTATTGCCAAACATTTCGATTATTATACATTGTAGTTATCTAGTAATCCTTAATATGATATGTATTACTAACAACTTCTGTTCTGATTTTATTTGGTATTGAGATATTAAAAATGATGTTATTAGAAGATGCTATCAAATTTTCTATTGTCAAGTGTAAAGCAAAAAGCAATTCAAAAAAATAATAGAGCAAAGAGAAAAAGCAATATAAGATAAAAAGATAAAAAAGAAATATAAAAAAGTATAAAAAAAGGTATTAAAACAAGTATAATAAGGTTAAAAAGCAATTTTTAATAAAAAATAGAAAAAAACATAAAAAGGTATAATATAATGTATAATAAATATTCTCGTAACAACTTGTTATATGTAACAATCTCGAATTAGCTAATAGTAGTTAGAGTTAGGGTTTGGGTTATATAAATTTTTAGTTATTTTTATTGGCTGTACTAATTAAGTTGTTACAAATAAGTGTGTAACAAGTTGTTACAATTAGATTCATCCTATAATGTAAATGAGTAGAAAAAATATATAAGGTAAAAGATATATGCGAAGAATTATAATGATATTTATTCTTTTTCTTTATTTTTGACTTGATCACATATCTGATATAATTATTTAACATAATCATTTACTTAATTTTAGTTTGAACACTAATCTAATACAATTGTTTATGTTGTATATTTTAATATATTTAACTCGACTACATACCTAATATGATTATTTATTTATTTTTTTAGTTGAAGAATATTAATCTAACACAATCGTTTATTTTGCATATTTTAATATATTTAACACTTTTTAATATATTAATATATTTGGTATATTTTAATATATTTAGTATATTTTAATATATTCAGCTTGACCATATATCTGATATAATTATTTGTTTAATTTTAAGTTGAATATTAATCTAACACAGTTGTTTATTTTGCATATTTTAATATATTTAACTCAACTATATATTTGATAAAATCATTTATTTAATTTTAGATTGAATATTAATCTAACACAATCATTTATTTTGTATATTTTAATATATTTAACTTGACCACATATCTCAGAAATATTCGGAATTAAGATTGAAAAGGTAAAGCAAATTATTAGATATACTACAATAAATAAAGTATTTATTTAATTCAAATAATTCATTTAATGACTAAGATAGTTTAGAGAATTCAGAAACAAATCAACAAGAATATATATACAAGTTCTTCTAATTAGTTGTATAGTAATTGTTTTTTTTTGTAAATACTAAATAATAGTTGAGAACACTAAAAAGTGTTTTACTATTCTTATAAGAACAGTATTTCAAGCTGAAATTTTCAACACTGTTCTAAAGTCAATCATGAACTAGTTTATAGTCTTCAAAGTCAATCATAAACTAGTTTATAGTCTTCAAAATTAATTGTGAACTAGTTCATAGTTCTCAAAGTTAATTATAAACTAGTTTATGATCTTCAAAGTCAATTGTAAACTAGTTTACAGTTTTCAAAGTCAATTGTAAACTAGTTTATAGTCTTCAAAGTCAATTGTAAACTAGTTCATAGTTCTCAAAGTTAATCATAAACTAGTTTATAGTCTTCAAAGTCAATCATAAACTAGTTCATAGTTCTCAAAATAAATTATAAACTAGTTTATGATCCTCAAAGTCAATTATAAACTAGTTTATGATCCTCAAAATCAATTGTGAACTAGTTCATAATCCTCAAAGTCAATCTTGAACAGTTCACAGTTTCAAAGTTAATCTTGAACTAATTTAGTTTTACCACAAAATCATGACTTCTAAAATCCTAGCAATACATAATCCCAACAATCATAATCTTGACTAAGATAAAATACAGACAAGTCAAAGACAAAATTCTAACAGTATAGGATCCTAATATTCAAAATTCTGAATGGTTAAGATCCTGAATTATCAAAATTCTGACAGTTAAAATCCTGATAGTCAAAATTCTAACAAGTTAGAATCCCAACAAGTTTTAATGGATTTGATTTGATTTTTTGAATTTGGTTTAAATTAGTAAATCTGAAGATATATTAAAAATCACAAATCTAAACTTAAAATATATTATAATTATTAAACAAAATATATGACTTTAAAATAGAAAGAACAAAAATAAATTATTAAACTTATTCATTTTATATTTAATTATTAATTATAATTTATTAATTAAATTTTTTAAAGGTTGTATTGTAATATTTATACTAGAAACGAATATAGATATTACTTAGTACATATTTCAAAAAATAATACAGGCTGTTGTCTAAATTGTTCTGATACTATTCAAACACTATTTCACTTTGCTTTAGAATATGAAATTAGTTAAAAAATATAGAAAACAATATATCAAGCTTTAGGTATCTTATCTAAAGATAGCTACTCATTCTTACTAGAAGAAATTATTTTAGTTACAAATATCTAAGATATTCTAAAATGCAGTTATCTCTCTGAATACATATAAATACTTTTTATAAACTTTAGTGCTGGTGTATACAAGCCAAATAAGGTATAAAAATTATTAGCGAAGAGGCAATCTCTAATGTTACTAAAATTAGATTTAAAAAAGAAATTCAAGTTATATAAAAAACTCTTTTACTTAAAAATAAGTAACTATCTAATTATAGCTCTTTAAAATATATTAAGTTTAATATAAAACAAAATTTTTTTTAACCTTAATAAAAAGATGTACTTTTGTATAAAAAAAAAAAAAAAAAAAAAAAAAAAAAAAATAGCTTAGAAGTTAAATAGAATCAAAAACTCAGTTAAGTAGTTTTTAACTAAGTTAACTAAGATGTATAATAATACTAACTAGGTATATTTAAAAAGAAATAATTTTGTAAAAGCAAAAAAATATAATTAAAAGAGACTATAGCAAAATCTAAAAAGATAGAAAGGAACTAATTGTCTGTTGATAAAAAAGAATAGAAAGCTAATTTTACAAATCAAATATCTCAACAATAGCTTCTTAATACTAAATGAACTGAAAAAGTGAAGATTTAATCTATACAAATATGACTTTTGTATTTTATATAAAAAAAGTATTACAGAGAATTTTGATCATTTAATAAGCTACTTGGCTTTGCAAGAATCATGAGAAAAAATTGAAGAAGCTATATTTTGATGTATTAAGAAGCTAGAAGAAGAGAATTTTTCTTTTTAAAAAAAGTTACAGAGACTTAGTAAAATTATATTCTCAGATAACAAGGAAATCTTTTTTTATTAGTATTTTTAATAGATTTGTGATTATTTTTTAATACGTAGGCCTAAATTGTACCCTAAACAAATAAATTACTAAGCTTTAATAAACAGTTATTATTATTTATTTTATTAATAACATATGGGCTGATTCAAGAAATTGCTGATATCTCTTGATCTACTAGTCCGTTTTGGATAATTTAACTACCAAAATGTTCGTCTTAATGAGACGATTCTAACGAGTATAAAAACATTAAAATCCAATCACAGAAACCCGATATCATTCAAGTTTTGTGCGATTTTAATTAAAATTTTACTATGTAGACAATCAACTTAGAAATGGGTTGTCTATATAAATTTATATAGGCAACCCATTTCTAAGTTGATTGTCTACATAG